AGTACTTAAATACAATTACAAATCACATGAAAAAAAGTATTTGTAATTATTAATTACTTTTTAACTAGGAATTACCCAGCTCTAAAGAGCATTGAAGTTGAGTTAAATTTTCAAACAGAATCAGAGCTGAGGTACTCAGTACAAAAATGTACTTGAAACAAATAATCAGTATTTTTTTTACTTTAAGTATTTTACTTAAAGTATTTATGAACTAATGATACTTTTGGAAATGTACTTATTACATTTGAAAAAAAGTACTTGTACTTAAATTAACGCTTTTGTGGTAAGTATTACTTGTTACTTGAAAAATGTACTGGAAAATCAGAATCTACTTAAAGTATTTTCTGAAAATACATAAGTAATTTTTAACAGTAAGTACTTAAATGGAAAATACTTAAAGTACTTTTGAAACTATTTTAAGTACATATTTACGCCAAACAAGCTAGGACTCTCATTTCATATATTACCCGGACGGTAAACAGTACAGTAAAGTGACAATAACACGCTCAAACAAATCAAATATTTCCGACATACGACGTCTAACGTGTGTTGATGCCGATGATACCTGGTACTAATAATACTACTCGTAATAAGAGTAATAAGCATACAGTCCTAAAATAGTGAACAGATACAGACAGTATCTGAAAATAATTGTGAATTAGATACCTATATAAGTGAAATATGACACCTCTCTTTTTGTTATGGGTTCAGTATTATATCACTTGAGAAAATTAAAATGTCTGGTACAATCACACAACTATCTAAGTCCTTGGATTACATTTTGAACTCTATTCGTGAACGATTCCATCGTGTTTTTACCTTGCAGTCTAAGATAGCATGTTATAGCAGCAGTAACCAATCCTAGATTTAAAATGAAAAGGTTGAATGCCTTCAAAGATACTGATGATTAAGTAACTGCAAAAGATATTCAATCTTGGATATCGAGTAGTGCTTTGGCCTTTAAAGTATCAGTTGCGTCCGACTTGACAGCCCAAGAAGACCTTAAAGACGCGTTTTTTGATTTTAAGGATGATGTCGAAGTTAATGTTTCTTCGGATACTGCTATAAGGCTCCATTCTACTGATACTTTTCAGAACCAGTTTGAATTTGAATTCCTCAAATACCTGAAAGGACCACCTTGTCAATGCTGAACGAATACAATATTGTTAAACAGTTATTTATAAAGTATAACTGTATTTTACCGTCATCTGCCTCCATGGAACGATTATTTTCTTTCGCTAGAATAATTAATGCTCCTAGACGTCAGGCGTTAAGTGACACCAACTTTGAACATTTGGTACAAAAGTAACAAACACGTATTCTAGAAAACGTATTAGTTATTTATTTTGTTGTTTTTTTTAAAGTATCCGATATCCTAATCCAAATAATAATAATAATATGTATTTTGGTTAGGTACCTACTTTAAAATAATGTTATTCTTGTAAACCAATACCTATCTACTTGTGTTGTTATTCTCATACTCATATTCTCATGTTATGTGTTACGTTTATGACTTTGACTTCTTTATGTTACCCATTACAACGAATAAAAAAGATATTGAAATATGAATAGATGAGTATTTTATTCACTCGTATATGAGCAACAAACAATGATTCTTGTATGTCATGATCTCCATAATCATGATGATATGAAAACATCTGTCACGAGTTTAAATATATAATTTATATCAACATGTCATCATCTAACAAGTAACAATGTAACAAATACGCAGAGTAAAACTCAAGATTTCAATTAATTTAATAAACCAAGTATACATTATATATTGTATGTTATATATATACAAACATATTGGATGGCCATTTTTATTGGTCATGTCTAAACAAAATATGTAGTAGTATACTTTATTAATTTATACAAAGTTATATATGTTGAGTTTTAAGTTGATAACTCAAGAGGGGATCTTTAATTTAATATATACTTAAAACATGACTTAAGTAGTTAATATTTCAAAATACTGAATCTTTAAAAGTACTTTAAGTATTTTTAACATATTTTCAGTACTTAGAATTACTTCAGTATATTGAATTTACTTTAAGTATTTTTAAAGTATGTACTTGCTACTTATACTTGAATATACTTGAAAAAGAGTTCTTACCTATTAAATATCTAAAACAACTTTATCTCGCTCTTGTTGAAAGCCATCTTAGGTATGGAATTCCGATATGGGGCGCAGCTGCACGTACCTATATAAATACCCTCGAAACTATCCAAAAACGAATTATAAAAATAATCGTGTCAAAACCCTCTAGGTATCCGACTGATGAATTATATAAAATATCGGATATAATGGATTTGAGACAACTGTTTTATTACAATACATGCATTAAATACCATTCTAGTGATGATAAAGCACCTCATCCAGATCATCAGTACTACACCAGGCATCGAGAATTACTTACACACCCATTGGTAAAGAAATCATTCTCACAGAAAGCCTATTCATACATTGCCACTAAAATGTACAATACTATCCCCAAAACTACCAAAATGATACAAAACACAAGTACATTCAAAAAACACTTAAGAACGTTTTTACAAAAGACTCCAAGATCCTTTTTTAATGCCTTAATAGATGAATTATATAAATAATTTTAATTGAATCCATTTTTAGCACTCTTTTACTAAATATGTATTATATTTTATTTTTTATTGTATACTTATTCTAGTTATTAGTGTAAATTTTAAATTGTAAATCTAATTTTAGCTATTAATATTACTATCATTATTATTATTTTTTATTATTATTCTTATTTTTTATTTTTATTAATTACTAATATTTTTAAATATAAATTTTAATCATATTTTCTATTATCGAAACAAGTACATCAGTACTTATCGATACTCTAACTTTATTTATATTTTGTATACACGTTTTTCTTCTTCTTTATTTTATTGTACTCCATTTATAAATAAAGTTTCTATTATTATTATTTGTTTTAAGTAAAATACTTAATATTTCAAGTACTTTCGTAAAATACTAATACTTATTATTGTAAGTAGATTTGGAATTTAAACTACTTAATACTGGTTACTTAAAGTACATTTGCTAAATACTTATCACAGCTCTGAACAGAATGCAAAACCAAGATCATTGCATTGGAACTGACTTAAGTTTAATAATAAAATCAGTTAGGTGTCCAAATTAATTGTATATTCAATAATAAATAGTAACTCAGCTAAAGGTACTACTTTCACGGAAGAATAATAGATTAAACAATGTTAATTCAACACAGTCAGTCTGCAGAGGCACCGTACATCTTATTATATGAACGATGGCAGAGGTAAAATACACTTTTATCAATAACTAGTCGAGGATGTGATTTGGACAGGTCGTTGGAATGTCTAAAGGTAACATTTGGGAAGAAGAGACCGAGACCGACTTCAAACGCGAAGCGACAGCGAAGGAGATCGAAAACGGTCTCTTATATGAAACACATTTGGGAAGGCTCGACAGACAACACCACTTTTAGTACGGTAGGATTTGCTGCTTGCTGCCTGTCGTCTGTCTTGGTCGCGCGTTCCCAAATGGTACCTTAATAAAAATAATGCCCAAATCTCCCCCTTTGATGATTTATGAAAGCTTGCTCGGTAGATTGGCCTATTACTTTACAGGGCAATCAATGAGGATCTCTTATTTTATTTTTGAACGAAAATACAATTATCATTGCGTTCGGTTTGCCACGTTCCTTTAACTCCTTTAACACTTTTAACTCCAAACGACTCTTTTAGCGTTCGGTTTAGTCCGATTACTGACAGTTTAACACGCTTAAATGTCATTTAAAAGCACCCTAAAATTTGTCCCGCTCCAGCCCCTGACTGACCGAACTCGCCTGATGTAACTCGTCAAAAGTCAAAATAAAAGAGAAGAGAGAAAAAATTCATAAGAATGACAATGACAAGTTCAATTCAAACTTCAAAGTATATCAAGATATTAATCAACCTCTACACTTTTATCAACGCGCGATTTGTTATTAATATATAAAAAAAGAAATATTCTAGATTAGATTTTATGTGTAGTGATAGTGATTAAACGTTTCGAAATCTCGTGGCTACATGGACAATAAATTTTTTCTTTCACAATGACACACAACGAACATCAGAATTTTCCTTTTCACCGCAGCCAATCCACTGATCTATCGGAGCCAACGTCGAGGATAACCTTCCATTCCAACTCGAACACCACCAGTACGATTCCACCAATGTCTGCTCCTGCTTCTTTTCAGAGAAGAACCGTCGAAAGTGCTAGACAGTTAAGAGACAGTTTTACTAATGTCATAAGAGAAATAGAACCTTTAGTGGAGACTGCTAGGACTGTAAATGCTGGTGTAACTAGTTTTTTAAACAACAGACCTCAGGCTGAAGCGAGTACTTCGAGACCAGTAAACGAAGCTCTTAATGACAGCTTTTATATTAATTTAGACCTTTCCGAGAACGATGTTGGGACCAGGACTGAACCTGATACCACTTTGCAGCAGAATGTTGAGAATAATCCTCCAGCGAACGATAATAACAATGCTGAAGAACAGGAGAGGAATCAAGCTGTGATAGATGCTCAACAGTTTATAAAAGTTTTATTAAAGTATGTACCTTTTATACTCATACTGCTGGCTAAATCAGTATATGATTACCATGAAGGAATATTTGTGCTAATAATACTGTTCATTACGTTCGCTCATAGTAACTCAGTGGTTAAAAAGGAAACTATCAAAAGACAGAGACGTAGTCTCACGACTCTAGGTGTAAATCTGTTGTACATTATAGTGTGTTTAATATTCATCCATTATGTATTTTCTGATGATCTTCACGATTTTAATGTGGTGCTCAATTTGGTATTGATCAGATCCTTCACACATCCTTTGACTGTTTGGAACCTATTGTGGATCGTGACCATTACAGATTTCACTTTGAAATTGTTGACAGTGTCTGTGAAACTGCTTTTGACCACTCTGCCTGGGATGGTTTTGGATTTCAAGAAAAGAGTATGTATTAATAATTTATATAATCATTGACTAATACTCTTTTATCTCGTCTTTTATCAAAGTCATTTGGTTACTGTTAGGTACATGTAGCTCTAAATTTCAGTGATTTGTTTTTTCCATCATACATAACCAACTTAGGAGGGGGTAGTTCTGTATACAATTGGTCAGGATCTGATCTATGAGAAAATTAAAAATCTCAATTTTTAAGGGCATATGCACAATTTTGAAGTCAGTTTTTTAATTAAAAAAATATTATTTATTTTTATTTAGTTCTCTTTATTTTTATTTAGTTCTCTTATTTTTATTTCACCACCGTTTCCCTGCTTTAAAATGTGGAAATCCATAATCCCGAAAAACTTCATTATTTATTTATTTAGCTATAATTTCAATTTTCAACTTCCTATCTTAATGAAATTGATACTCCCATACAAATTTTCAATTATAAAGTCGATTCTAAGTCCAGTGGAGTTGAGAGTAATTCATAATGATATGGATCATTTATTTGTGTTATGTTTGTTAGGACAAAAATTATTTATCATTGGAGGTGCCTATCTCCCACTAAATTCTACTGAATTAAAATATGAGAATCATTGTAATACTGTCATTGATATAATGCAAAATAATGAAAAATGTGACATTATCATATTTGGAGATTACAATCTGCCAGTGGCAATGTAGTCAAATGATGATACTGGTGTTTTAATTAACTGTCCTCAAAGTTCACATTCTTTACTATTGGCTCAACATTTTTCATTTTTAAATCTATTTCAAAAAAATACTATACCTAATAATAGAAATGTACTGTTAGATTTACTTTTTACAAATTTGATTGATAGGGAAGTAGTTTTATCAACTGACCCCTAATTTGATAGTAGTATCCACTATGTAAGTTACTCAGTAACTTTTAATACAGGAGAGTCAAATTTAAATCATCTGAAATATACAGAATTCTACTGCGACTTCCATAATGCCAATTACTTAACAATTACTTCGCAGCTATTGATTGGAAGAATATACTGTGCTATGATATAAATATTGTGTTGAATGAGTTCTATCATATCATAAACACGGGTGTTGTACTTTTTGTCCCATTAAAAAGATTTGTTTCATCCAATTTCCCTAAATGGTTCAATTTGGAACTTAGATATCTCTTGAGACAAAAAAAAATTAGTTCATAAACAATAGGTACATGACAACTCATAATATAGAAGACTACAGATACTTTTCATAAATGAGAGTGGCTTGTAAAAAATTTTCTAGAACATGTTGCAATGACTATATTAGACAGGTAAATCTCTCTTTATACAATAATCCTAAATATTTTTGGACATCATAAATAGTAAAAGGAAATGTAATAACTTATCTAACACAAGCCACTGTAATGGTAACCTAGCAGCAAAATACTTTGGTACAGTATACACTGACTCTTCTCATATAAACAGGAATAATGATAGTAATTTGGCTTTACTAACATTCCCTGTCCATCGTTTTCTATTGAGTTGATTTTTTGATATAATATCTAAATTTCCAAATAAAAATAGTGTAGGACCTTACACCAACTATTTACATTTTATTTAAGCAATCTATAGATACTGGTGTTTTCCCTGATATCTGGAAACACACTGATATAAATAATTATAGAAGTGTTAGTATTCAATCTTCTTTACCTAAATGAATGGACAGCTTAATTTTTGACCAGCTTAATTTTCACTGCAAGGAACTTTTGATCAATAACCAGCATGGCTTCAGTCAAAAAAAAATTACAGTTATGAATTTATTGTTATACGAACAAAATATATTAAATGTTTTAGAAGCTAAAGGACAACAGATTTCGCTAAAGGGTTTAACACAGTTGATCATGAAATATTGTTAACGAAACTAGAATCGTTTGGTATACCATCTCAGTTGGTGAAATGGTTTTCAAGTTTTTTGACAGGTGGAAGTCAGCAAGTTAAAATCGGTAGTAATAGATCAAGATTAATTAGGGTTTCCTCAGGTGTACCACAGGGCTCTCATTGTTCACTACTTTTATTTAATATATTTATTATAGTAGAATGCTTTAAACATTGTGAGTTCTTAATGTCCGCAGATGACCTTAAGTTGTATAGACCAATTTACTCATTCAGAATGATCACAACTTAGTTAAATGGTGCGACCTTAATAACATACAGTTGAATGTTAATAAATGTTGCTTTATAAGCTAAGGGAACAAAAAGTTCAACTCACAACATATAAAGAATTAAGATTATTGAACATATAAATTCAATCTCAATAAAATCATCCCAATGCTTAGGGTTAATATTACATAACTGTTCTGATTTATCTCTAGAAGCCATAAAAAGAGTATCATATATTGGTTGTGCCTCAGTTGGAGTATGCTTCTATAATTTGGTCGCCACAATATCATATACCTAACACTGTCTAGCAGTGGAAAAAATACAAAATAAATTTCTAAGATACTGTGCCTTCAAATTAAATATTCAGGTAACTGATCACAATTATACTAGGATTTTAAATGAAATGAATATGAGCCGCCTTAAGTACAAAATACATATCAGATTTGAATTTTATCTATATAGATTATTAAATGGTATAGTCATATACCCAGAACTCTTAGAAATGATTTTTTTTCATTATTCCTAGTAGAGTCCTTAGGCAATTAAATATGTTCCATTTCACAATACAAACAATGGCATGCATTTACCTATTAAGAGAACATTTAGGGTAATAAATCAATTGAATCTGGAGGTTACAGGCATTTCTTTTAATACATTTAAGGCAATCTGTACTAACACACTGGAGTAAAAATGAAATATTACAGACGGATTTACACTACTTAAAATGCATTTATTAATCTAAAACTTATTTGACTTAATTTTACCTTTTTTTTTCTCTTACTTGTATTTTTTAATTTACAATTATCGGTATTATTTATATGTGTTTTGCTTTGTAATGGGGTTGATCCCGTTTAAACAAACAAATAAATAAACAATGTTAGACTGCAGCTTACAACAAACAGTTGTTTTTGTACATTAATGTTACACATTTGTCCCAACGGGGTGTACATTAATGTTATACTGGCAGTGAGAGTGTTAAAATACAATCCTTCCATTTACTTGCCCTTTATGATCAAATATATCCAAAGATATATATTCAAACAAATGTCTTGCCTTGTTGCCTCAAAGTTAGTTCTGTGCAAACCGAAACCACCCAGGGTGTCCTCCAGATGCTGGGCATTTACCTGGTTCTCACCGAAATGTACATTAAAATCCCCATTACTCTTGTTTGGACCAAGAGATGCTATCATACCCTCCAAAGAGCCCAAGAAGGTATCAAAACAGCCTGAAGGGTGCTTACATTAAACTAAAATATAAAGGTTAAAATTTTTAAAATACACATGACACATAAACATTTTTCAATATTGAAATTCACAAATACATTCTTAAAACTAGACCCTAGACTATTTTTATCCATTAATACTGTGCTTCCACCAGGAAATGAGACCTTGCAAAAAAACCTCCGATCGCATATCCATCTAGATGACATGCCTCTAGTTCTACTTGTGTCTTTCAGTGTTCTGTGATTAGGTCAATATCCTTTTTTTTGATGAATGTCTCTAGTTGAGGTAATTTATTCCTTAATGATTGGATATTCACATGCAGAATTCTTAAACATCTTGATGTTATGTGCTGCTCTGGACTGATATTCACTGTTGTTTCACCCCTATTGGGAGCAGGACATTGAGAAAATGGTTAACAATTGTACGTTTTGGCCACATTTTTGCTTTTAGGTATAGTTCTTGATCATGGTATGGTACAGCTAATTTGAAGGAGCCAAAATGCAAGATATTTAAAAAAAATAATAATTCACAACGGGGTGGGTGGCTCAGTGGTAGTCTCTGCCTGCAGATCCAAAGGTCCCGGGTTCGAATCCCACCATTGGCCGGGATTTTTTCATTTAATTTCATTATTTAAAATTAATTCTGATGCCTTGGTAGGATTCCCCACTCGACCATTCACTGTTGGGTTCTAATTAACAGTGCTGTTCCTAAAGTGGCGCTGGGAAACAGTAACAAAGCTCACACAGAACACGAGGCAAAATAACCATAGTAGTTGAAGCAGATGACACAAAAAAAAATAATTTATGGACAACCTTAATATATTTCATTAGAATTAAATATGCCAATTTTGTCAACTCATTATTTTCGTTTGTCCAAGCCTTATTTTTGTTTGTCCTTCCAAAATAAATTAGTTATTAACAAAATAAAGCACCCAAAATATAAACAATTGAAATTTATTAAAAATAACTACATTTGTCCAGGCCTTATTTTAGTTTATCCACCCAACAGAAATTAGTTATTAACAAAAAAGGACTGAAAATATGAATAATTATTAATATAAATATTAGGGTGATTCATTTCCGCAAAGTTTTTTTTTTCGATGCTCAAGCAAAATATTAATCTACATATAGAAAAAAAAATTCTCACCAAGTTTGAGCTCTTAATATCAATTTTAAGTACTTACTATTTAAATTTAAAGTTTTACCATTTAAAATGCATATAAAAAAAATTATTTTTTAAATTTCTAATGCTTGCCCACCTTTTACAATAATGCAAATCAGTTTGATGGACCTTGTGAGGAATTTTATGCTCTTCGAAATTGCTTCAGTGTTTTTTTTTTTTGTGTAACTCGCACTGGTTCAATTTTTTCGAGCAAACCGCCAAAAGTAGGGAGAAAAAAGGGCTGACTCATAAAAAAGTTTTCCGACCAATATTTAATGAATTTACAGCCATTTTTATACCTGAAAACGTAAGAAATTGATAAATACTAACTCATAATGTTATTTAGTTTAATTATTTCTATTCATTACCATTATTTTTCCCTACACTAAGAACTTTTTTAGAATTATTATGATTTCTCACTCATAATGAATATAATTTCGAAGAGCCTGAAATTTCCCACAAGGTCCATCAAACCGATTTGCAATATTGTAAAGTGTGG